TAGACAAGAGTTGAACAACTTTTTACCTAGTACAGTTGATCTTTGTGTGTGTGTGTGTGTGACCAGTAAGGGAATCAGAACCCTTGGCATGGTGTCGCCCGCACCGCGCTCAGCCAGTGAGCACACTGGCCATTCCTATATAGGATCCGAACCCACAGCCTTGGTGCTCCCAGCGCTGCTGTGCTCCCAGCGCCACACTCTCCCGAGTGAGCCACAGGGCCGGCCCTGATCTTTTCTTTTAGGTCTCCTAGGAATGTTTGTCTGTTAGCATATCAAATCTATCTTTTTGAATAAGGTAATTAATACTATTTCTTTACATTAATCTGTCAAATATCTTAATTCTTCACACCAGCTCAGTGCACTTTTAGCTATGAATACCATAAAAATAATTCTTTTTAGGAAGTGAAGAGATATATATTCACCCTGTAGTGATTTCAGTTTGCATTTTGACCTGAGGTTACCAAACCATAATACCAAAGACTTTTATAATGTCATTTCTTTAACAAATAGAAGGTCATTTCTTTTTGTCTTAAATATTTCAGTTGTTTTAAGCCCTTCAGAGTCTCCTACTGATACTGAAGAAAATCCAAAGACAACACACAGTTGTCTGAGTGCTGCGAAGAGAGAGATCACTCCCTTGCCACACACAGGGGGTAGAAGTTAATTATGCCAGCAATGGGAAAGACACAGCCCTGGGGGTTCCCAGACCAGAGGGCATTCTTTTGGAGCTATTGGATAACTATGACAGCCCTCTCCAGAATGAGAAACCGAACAGCCTCCCTGGGGAGGAAAGGATAGAAGGACAAAAGAACTGGAGAGCAGCCGTAGGAAGGAATTGGGAATGCCTGTGAAAAGCAAGTTCACCACCTCCAGAAGTCACCCAAGGTCAGCACTACCTGCAAAGACTTTCATTACCAATAGAAAAATGTTTTTCAATAAGGAAATTTGGAGAAGAAAGTCCCTTACTAGGAATACCAGCCAGCCCAACAGTCAGTTTCGTACAATACATGGCAAGAATCTCCGAGTGGCCAGGAACCCCATGAAGAGCCCCTATGAAGAGCCCAGAGGTGAGGAAATAAAGACGTATATAGCTCTCTACTAGGAATACCAGCCAGCCCAACAGTCAGTTTCGTACAATACATGGCAAGAATCTCCGAGTGGCCAGGGACCCCATGAAGAGCCCCTATGAAGAGCCCAGAGGTGAGGAAATAAAGACGTATATAGCTCTCCAAAATGGATAGCAAGAAACTTTAAAAGAAACAGTCTATTTGAGGAGTTTGCCAAGGACTGGTCCTGTCTGTGGTGTTTTTAAAATCAAGCAATACTTTATTTCAATTCATAGCAACCTATCTGCTAAAGAGTTAGTAAAATGTTGATGTCATGATAGTATAAGTGGTTGCCCGCATCTATCAATCTGCACAGCCTGTCGTGACACTTGCTCTCTACGTATCATTACATGTCCACACACAAACATCTACACAAGCACATTCAGACAAGCTCTTGATGTACAAATAGGGTATTTCAAGGCTGTCTCCAGGTACGTTCATGTTTCAGGGGCCGTGACCGACCTCCTCTTTGGGGGTGAGAATGTTCATTTGGTAAAGCATTTAATGGGTGTTTCAGTAATTCAAAGACAAGGCTTCAAATTAATGTAAGGGAAGAGATCAATTCATAAAGAGCTAAATAACTCTGCTCTAAAAAGCAAGATGACTTCTCCAAGGATAAGGTGGCTGGTTACTAGCAAGATTTTTTTTTAAGCATTATAATTTGTATTGTCTCCAATTTTTTTTTTTAAACCTTGTGTGTTATGTTTTCTGGATGTATGAAATAAAGCCATGAAAGAGTAGTGATAATCAGCCTTCTAGACTTTGAACACTTGCCACAGTGTTTAGAAAAGATAATAGGACATGGGAAATGAGTCAAAAGAAAAGGAAGAAATGATTTTATTTCTTTCATTAGTAAAGGTTTAGGAGAGGCTGAATGGTTCTATTGCATGTGAAACGTTATCATATGCAGTTTCAATTAAATGCCAAAAGGCATAAAATACTAGAGCACAGCAAAATGTACCAGACACTTTCAGAATTTGGTAAGAATCTGGATCAACCCCTCCCCTTGCGTAACACCAATATACAATCATTGAGATATGAAAATGGCCTATGCAAATATCTAAATGTTGGTGAGTAGTGAAGGATTATGGATTATTAGAAAGGAAGAAGTAAGTGCACTTTGTATTGTAGACTATATGCTTGCCTGATATATAAAGATTTACAATTTTTACAGACCAAACTGGAAGTTTCACCCTGGATTTGTGCAATATTTGCCAATTTCATGGGTGTCAGATAGAAATGGCAGTTAGAAATGCCCACCGTTATTTCCAACTCTTAGTGATGAGGTCCCACTATTGAAATAATCATTCCAAAGACAAAACCTCAAGGATGATAACCAAAGAGAGAAGTTCCTTCATTGTGAAGACCACTGCTTAGCAGTCAAGGACAGAGCTAAGATGAGGGTGGTGGGTGCCCGAGGCTTTACGTATGCAGTTAAGTGTACAGTCTTGCAAGTTTGAAGAAATTTTTAAACTTAAATAGGTAAATTAGGTACTATGGGTGTCATGATGAGGGAGGGCTTTCTTTAGGAAGGGGGCTTCTGCTGTAATTTAGAAAAAAGAACGTGGACAAGTTGGTAGAATAAACAAGAGTATGTTACAATATTAGAAAAATGCACAAAATAAAGCAGTTTAGAAATCTACCTCTACAGTAGCAGAGGGCAGAGAATGAACTATTGTGCTCTCCACATAGTTGAATGGTGTCTATTTTAAACAATGTTCAAGCGTCTAGAGAGATTATGGTAAATCCATATAATGTCTTCCCATATTAGTAAATAGGCATTGCTGTTTACATGAAGGGCTTTTGCTTATAGGACAAAGATATTGCATCAAAAATCTTTTTCATTGTAATGTAAAACAACTAAGAAAATTATAAACACCTGAAGATGCCCCCAGACTCTTAATTTAATCAAATATTACACATGTGTGTATACGTTTTTCCTGCCAATTTTTCCAAATTTGAATTTTTGAAACTTTGAAAACAAAAAAGATTCTNAGACTTTCATTACCAATAGAAAAATGTTTTTCAATAAGGAAATTTGGAGAAGAAAGTCCCTGACTAGGAATACCAGCCAGCCCAACAGTCAGTTTCGTACAATACATGGCAAGAATCTCCGAGTGGCCAGGAACCCCATGAAGAGCCCCTATGAAGAGCCCAGAGGTGAGGAAATAAAGACGTATATAGCTCTCCAAAATGGATAGCAAGAAACTTTAAAAGAAACAGTCTATTTGAGGAGTTTGCCAAGGACTGGTCCTGTCTGTGATGTTTTTAAAATCAAGCAATAATTTATTTCAATTCGTAGCAACCTATCTGCTAAAGAGTTAGTAAAATGTTGATGTCATGATAGTATAAGTGGTTGCCCGCATCTATCAATCTGCACAGCCTGTCGTGACACTTGCTCTCTACGTATCATTACATGTCCACACACAAACATCTACACAAGCACATTCAGACAAGCTCTTGATGTACAAATAGGGTATTTCAAGGCTGTCTCCAGGTACGTTCATGTTTCAGGGGCCGTGACCGACCTCCTCTTTGGGGGTGAGAATGTTCATTTGGTAAAGCATTTAATGGGTGTTTCAGTAATTCAAAGACAAGGCTTCAAATTAATGTAAGGGAAGAGATCAATTCATAAAGAGCTAAATAACTCTGCTCTAAAAAGCAAGATGACTTCTCCAAGGATAAGGTGGCTGGTTACTAGCAAGATTTTTTTTTAAGCATTATAATTTGTATTGTCTCCAATTTTTTTTTTTAAACCTTGTGTGTTATGTTTTCTGGATGTATGAAATAAAGCCATGAAAGAGTAGTGATAATCAGCCTTCTAGACTTTGAACACTTGCCACAGTGTTTAGAAAAGATAATAGGACATGGGAAATGAGTCAAAAGAAAAGGAAGAAATGATTTTATTTCTTTCATTAGTAAAGGTTTAGGAGAGGCTGAATGGTTCTATTGCATGTGAAACGTTATCATATGCAGTTTCAATTAAATGCCAAAAGGCATAAAATACTAGAGCACAGCAAAATGTACCAGACACTTTCAGAATTTGGTAAGAATCTGGATCAACCCCTCCCCTTGCGTAACACCAATATACAATCATTGAGATATGAAAATGGCCTATGCAAATATCTAAATGTTGGTGAGTAGTGAAGGATTATGGATTATTAGAAAGGAAGAAGTAAGTGCACTTTGTATTGTAGACTATATGCTTGCCTGATATATAAAGATTTACAATTTTTACAGACCAAACTGGAAGTTTCACCCTGGATTTGTGCAATATTTGCCAATTTCATGGGTGTCAGATAGAAATGGCAGTTAGAAATGCCCACCGTTATTTCCAACTCTTAGTGATGAGGTCCCACTATTGAAATAATCATTCCAAAGACAAAACCTCAAGGATGATAACCAAAGAGAGAAGTTCCTTCATTGTGAAGACCACTGCTTAGCAGTCAAGGACAGAGCTAAGATGAGGGTGGTGGGTGCCCGAGGCTTTACGTATGCAGTTAAGTGTACAGTCTTGCAAGTTTGAAGAAATTTTTAAACTTAAATAGGTAAATTAGGTACTATGGGTGTCATGATGAGGGAGGGCTTTCTTTAGGAAGGGGGCTTCTGCTGTAATTTAGAAAAAAGAACGTGGACAAGTTGGTAGAATAAACAAGAGTATGTTACAATATTAGAAAAATGCACAAAATAAAGCAGTTTAGAAATCTACCTCTACAGTAGCAGAGGGCAGAGAATGAACTATTGTGCTCTCCACATAGTTGAATGGTGTCTATTTTAAACAATGTTCAAGCGTCTAGAGAGATTATGGTAAATCCATATAATGTCTTCCCATATTAGTAAATAGGCATTGCTGTTTACATGAAGGGCTTTTGCTTATAGGACAAAGATATTGCATCAAAAATCTTTTTCATTGTAATGTAAAACAACTAAGAAAATTATAAACACCTGAAGATGCCCCCAGACTCTTAATTTAATCAAATATTACACATGTGTGTATACGTTTTTCCTGCCAATTTTTCCAAATTTGAATTTTTGAAACTTTGAAAACAAAAAAGATTCTGAATATGTTTTATGATATCATTCATCTTAGGAGTTATTTTACAAAAAATCAATTTTGTACATTGGGCACTTGTAACTGCCAAAAGGAGAGTTTTCACAATGTGGAGTAAACATTGGTGAGTATTTTAATATCAGAATGACCTGATATTTCTTTTCCTTTCAATGACCTGGTGATCCTTCAAATGTTCCCTCAGAAAAAAATATGTGCTTCTCAGTAGATTTTGAAAGATTTTAAGTACATTGCTGAATCTCACATATCAAGATATCTCAAAAATAAGGCCTCCTGAAAGAAAATTTTGTCTTCAATAGATTTCAACGCATGTATTCTGTTAAGTATCTAAGTATATTATATGCATACCTGGAAAAAAAAATCCAAAACTCCAGCCTGGTTACCAGGAGAATATGCTGTTTCCATGGTAACTCCCTCTTGGACACATTCTGTTTGCTCGTGGAGAAAAAGCAGGTCATTGATATAGTGGTGCATCTTCTCGTTGGTGATGTTGACACAAAGCTGTTGTGGGGGAAGAAAGAAAACCATTCACGAGATAACACAGCACTGCGTATCCGCTCGTTCAACGACACAGTTGCAGGTGGTGAAACACTGACTCGGGAACGTTCTGCGTCCATTTAGTCTATCAAGGTAAACCCTGAGAAGTCAAAGAGTTTCCTTTCCTATTGTTTGACATCATATTGCCTGACTATGCAATTTAACGTGACTATTTTAAAAACAACAAAAAGTATAATTACAGCATTAACTTACACATACTGAGCTGCAAACATATTTGAGCAGTTAAAAAATATTTCCAAAAGGAAAATGTGTTTGGACTCTGCTTAAGAAATGAAGGTAGAAGAAGCGGGGTTTATCACGAGATGGCAGAGACACGTGATGGCTTTCTTGTGTCCCTCATTTCTGGTTGTACGTGGGTGATGGGCAAGAAGGAACGTGGGGTTTCTTCCAGAAATAATAACAAGTCTAAGCATTTTATTGTAGAAACTATTTTCTTTATCAGAAAAGTGTCTATGTTCCTCCGACTATCGAGTTTTCTCTTCCCACAAGATATTCCCACCGAGAAACAAATGTTATTTCTTCATCTTAATATCTTAATTTCTTACATAAAAACATAAAATTTTCTTTATCCTATAACATCTTCAAAAATGAAAAGTAACTCAAATCTAACCAAAACGAAATCTGATTTCCTCTCTAGGATACTCCCAATTTACTGCTTTCCTTAGTATCAAAAACCCACAAAAGGCTTGTCTTNGTACGTGGGTGATGGGCAAGAAGGAACGTGGGGTTTCTTCCAGAAATAATAACAAGTCTAAACATTTTATTGTAGAAACTATTTTCTTTATCAGAAAAGTGTCTATGTTCCTCCGACTGTCAAGTTTTCTCTTCACACAAGATATTCCCACCGAGAAACAAATATGTTATTTCTTCATCTTAATATCTTAATTTCTTACATAAAAACATAAAATTTTCTTTATCCTATAACATCTTCAGAAATGAAAAGTAACTCAAATCTAACCAAAACGAAATCTGATTTCCTCTCTAGGATACTCCCAATTTACTGCTTTCCTTAGTATCAAAAACCCACAAAAGGCTTGTCTTGATTTATTATCTCAAATGCTTCTCCCCTTCTCTCTGGAAACCACTCTAATGAAACCTTTGCACTCGTGCCTCAACCTCAGTCCTTCTGTGGACGTCACCAGCGATGTGTGCATTTCCATATCCAGTGTTGGATTCCCCGCATCCACGGCCTGGGACCCCCAGCCATCCTGGACAGGGCTGGTTCCTCAGCTTCCTGGGCACTTCCTCGCCGTCTCTCCACCAGCGATGTGTGCATTTCCATATCCAGTGTTGGATTCCCCGCATCCACGGCCTGGGACCACCAGCCATCCTGGACAGGGCTGGTTCCTCAGCTTCCTGGGCACTTCCTCGCCGTCTCTAAGGATGCTGTGCGCTCTGTCCTCCTTCCACTCCAGCTGTCTCTCCTCTATCTCCTTAGATTGGAGGGTTCTGGTCCAGGCCTGGGGTTCAGTATCTTCTCTACCTGCCCCCAATTTCTTCCCGAGCTCGTTCGGTCTCATAGACCTTCGTGTTCCCACATCCACGCCCCCTACCACTGTCGTACGAGGTAAAATCCAGATAAAGATGAATCATTTACATAGATGAAAACAACTGATAAGACATTTCCAAAAAAATCAGATCTCATCTGCGAAGGGAATGATATCTAGGATTATATTCAGTGTGAAATATCCTGTATTCATATAAAGAAAATGCCAAAGCTTTTGTAAAGAACATATGACTGAAATTAAGTCACCAGAAAAAAGAAAGATCTCCCTGAATTTCCCTTCTTCGTGCACCCCAGATCTTCTCCAAGTGTGATGGTATCATAACACTTGTGAAGTAGGCATCCTATTCCCTCTACTGGGAGCTCATGTTGTCTCTGTCGCCCATGTAACAGCGTCCCTTATGTCAGCGAGACAAGTCACCTTCCCAAGTGACCCACACCAGAAAAGGTTTAATTCTCCACATGGGAGTTTGCACCTACCCATAAGGGTGTGGCTGTTAATGGATTGAGAATCACATGCACATAGATGGAAAGGGGCATTTTCTTCCAGATCCCTATTAAGGAGGATGGAAGATTGTGGGATTATAGAGGCATGAAGACGCCTCACGGGGAAACTCCTTAAGGGAAGAAATACTGAAAGAAACATGTCAGAGCGCAGAACACTGGCCAGAACACTGCTCAGCACAGTCTGTGCTGAGATGAGACTGATTTGCCGTAAAGTTCTATTCTTTACTTCTTGACTGGGCCAGGATTTTGTGAGCAAGTGTACATGGCTCAAACATCTTCAGAAATTAGATGATTAAAGAATGAGAGGACTGTACCCGTGTGGGGAACCATGACTGAGCAGAGGTGAGAAAGCTGAAAATTTAGTGGGTCTTATGATCTGATGTAGTTATTTTAATGATGAGTGTACATGGACTTTTTTTCATTATTAATATAATAGGCAGGGAATAATGTTATGGTGGAAATATAATAAATAAAATATTAAAGCAATAACTTTATTAAAAATAAGATTGAAATGCCATATACTGACACACGAACGATAACAAAATTATTCTTAGCTCCCAGTCAAAAAATGATGCTCCTTGGCTACTGACCTTTCCAATTGCTTTTCTTCCAACTCTGATTTTACAGGAAAACATGGTTTCTGTAAATTCAGTGATCAATTCCTTTCTGTAGACTATTTCTGTAATGTTTTCTATTACAAAATAAGATCTAAGTTAAAAATAAAATAACCTGGCCACCTTGTTCTTGTCTTAGAAGTCATTTTAAAACCTCAAGAAGACACCAGAATTTATTTAAGCTTGGAATCTCTCAACTTCTTCCCCAATTCCATCCATGATCACTGGAATTTCTAGAATTTTCTCCCTTCTATCTTCTTTATCTAGTAATTAACTAGAATGTTTCCCTCTCTGCTTCTTGACAACTAGATTCCATGAGATACATGCAAAGGTGGAAGCTCTTTAAATTTAAAGCTAAATGCTTCTTAGATAAACACTTTCAGTGATCAATTGTTTTAATTAAAAATATAGTCACTTCAGATGCGAACATACCATATAGGTCATTTAACTTTACATGTGTTGTTGTTAAAGCAAATGTGATTTGAATATGGCTACAGACCAACAAATTCTGCATATTATAATTGGCAAAGGGAAGGACAGCTTTCAGTATTTAAAAATCAGATGGAAAATATTTTCTTTCTTGTAGTGGATCCAGTCTAGTATGTTCATCTCCATGTGTTATTCCATCAAAACTAAGTGATAACAATAGTCCCAGATCTTCAAGATTAGGTTCTATGTTCATCTTATCCTACAGTGTATAAATCTCCAGTAATGGTTTTGCATTTTCTATAAAACTATATAGCATCTATCCACAATATTATTCCTACTGTTAAAGTAATACATCTACTCGTGGATTTCATTTTAAAGATCAATGAAAAATAGAAATTTATAAAGACTGTTGTTAGGAAAGAAAAACTAAAATTTTAAAATTAATTTCACTTTGCTTGAAAAATAATATTTTGGTGTGTTCCGTCAATCTAATAATTTGTTAAGCTTCTTTAATACTGATGTAATTTTTTTTACTAAAGAATAATAAAAACTATAAAATTATTAAAATTTGGTGTATTTATTCTAAATGTACAGAAAAAAATGATACCTTTTATGGAATGGAATCATTAGAAAAGTTTTTTTTTGATTCTGTGATATGTACAATTGTAACTTCTCAAGTTTTTTGATATTAAAAAATGCATCTAGTTGTGTAGATCCTATACCTCTGCAGTTTGATTTAAAAGTGTTTATGAATAGTGAGCTTAATCAAATGTCATCTATTTTAGAAAACAGATTGCTGAGAAACAAATGTCAAAGCCATGAAAAATAGGTGATGTCTGTTACTGCATAAAGCAGTAAAGAAGTCTGATGAAGAATTCCAGGGAAAAAAACTCAATGGCTGATTACCTATTGTACAAGAAATATCCAAATTATATGACCCTTCTGATTCCCTTCATTTTGAGTCTCATCAAAAATATTCAGATAGACGTAGATGTCTCTAACATATTTAATAGAATTCTCTTATTTTGCACTCAGAATAGTCTGCAGCTCTGCATTAACAAAAATTACTTTTGATGACAATCCGATGAAATCCTCTTGCTCTTGACGGTCTTATGGCAGACCTTATCCGTAGAGTTTTGACTGACTTGAGCCTTTTCATAATAGAAAAAATAGATATTTTCATGATTTTTACTAAATTGAAAATTGGCTTCACTGAATTGATCCACTGGTTTAATCTACATGGTGAAACCAAGTGAGAACGTAGACAAAGCCATGATAAACAAAAAGAGCTGGAGGGGGCAGGTCTTATTTTTCTCCCTTGTTCCAAAAAAATCTAAAGCAATCTGACAAACTTTGGCTAACAGAAGGGATGTGGCCTGTGCTGCTGGATGAAGCAACCCAGTTCATTACTCTCCTGGTCGAAATGATTTTTTTTTCCTCTACTGGACTTCGAACATTTTTAAGCTGCAGTGTCCTGTGGTAGTTCATTTTTGTGACAGTGGGGTGACCTTTACAATATACCTGAACCTTTGATTGTATATCACGTTCTTTGCATTCTGGAGAAATAAGGTCTTAAAGTAATGTATTAAAATCCCATAGGGAAAATTCCAGCTTGATGTGTAAAATGCGTAGCCTGTGGCCTGATTTTCAACTTGTAGCTTTTATTACAGGGATGCTTTCTGAAACTAAATCTGTATTTGCATTTCTAACAGGGGAGAGCAGCACTAGTGGTAAGTGAATCACTGGGAATAGACACAGTCCAAAGCAGAATGTTCTTCAAAAATCATTTTGATGTGCACATTAAAATGTTTCACCAAAAGTTTGTCTTTCCCTATATGTAAATTGTTCGAATCACTTATTGCTTAAACCAAAGTTAAAATATAGAAGTA